CCCTGTTGTGAACCGAAGATCGGGCATCGTGTAAAGTGAGCCCACCCATTCTTTCTAAAGCCTAGATGTGGCCAAAACGCGACTGGGGCAAGATTTCCTTGTCACACTAGGACTCCATCAAAACTTGGAATTCTTCGATTGTAGGGCATATCTCTTGTCCCTCGAAGCTAAAAACGTATGTAATCGGGTTCAAACATCTAGCCATGACATGGAGGAATGGAAAACACAGTGGGGTACGACACAGCGGGAATAGTGCCTTTATTCTAAAACCTCAAAAATTTAACTTTTTCGAGCCATCTAAATTTGCAATCCAATTTGAGAGTTTTTCGGCAAAGAATGGCTCCATTTGGGGCAACAATAGAGCTACAATGAAGAAACCACGAAGCTAGAGCTTTTGTAGAAGACAAGGTAGTGAGTGGAGGCCAGGTGTCAACGTTTCGGAGGTTCTGCTCATCGATGGCCAGTAGGGCTTATTGATGGCTGGCAGAGGCTCATCAATGACCGACAGGGCACATTGATGGTCGGTTGGGGGAAAATGATGGCCGGCAGCCTCTCTTTCAGGCTCACTGACCTCCTTTGTGAAGATTCAATTGCTTGCAACAATTGTATTCTGTTATTCGTATCTTTTGAGGTCTTGTTTTCAGTCCTTTTAGGCTTGAGTATGTTTATTTAAGCTGTAATTATCTGGTTTTGCTTATCGAGTTATATTTACATTGATTAGCCTATCAAGCCCTTATGTTGTTTAGTAAGTTGTTTTGCTCTATTTGTTATTTCAGTTGTCAGTCGGTTCACTACTTGATTAAGACAATGCAAATTGAATGCGCAGTTTTCAAACAAGGCCAAACTCGTTTCTTTTTATGCTATGCAATGGTATGCGATAATGCTCACAATGCAAAATATAACACTTTTTAATCAAAAGTTGTTTCTATTACGATCATGGTCACTTTTTGCAAAAGAGTACAAGTTTTTAAAGAAATAAAACTCGTCTAAACTGTACAAAGTGCCAATACTACTAGCAAAAAAAGAAACTAAGTCAAAAGCATAGATAGATCAGTGCCAGCTATGTCAGGCTCGAGAGGCCCTCTTCGTCCTCTTCCTCAGCGGAGCAGACTCTGAAGCATTGTCTCCATCGGCGCCACAGTCTGAATCTGAATCAGAGTCTAAACCAGAGCCCTCCTCAGCCTCTACGGCCTCACCACTAGCAGAATCCAAGCTGGCGTTGTCGTCTCCGTCCTTAGATGACTCTGACTGTAGGCTCGCTGCCTCACCCTCATACTCACTCGTCTCATCATCATCATCATCCAGAACGGGCTTTGAGGGGCCACTCTCACAACGGATGCCCCTGGCTCTACTTCGACTGCGTGTCGTAGCCTGTCTCCCTCTCCTCCCTTTTGTTGGAGGAGGTACTGAAGGTCCTGTTGCGGCTCCCGCTGGGGCGTCCGGTGGGGCTGGGATCTGAAAAGGGATCTGAAAAGGGCAATTTGTCAAAATACGTTAGTTGTGGTGTAATATCAGATGCAAAGATGAGTGTAGTGTATGAATGCAGCGTACGGGAGTAGTGTATCTATGCAGTGTTTTAACGCAATTGTAAACACCCCATTTTTACCGCCCTTAAGACTTGGGCACTACTGATTGCTTACTTAGTGATGCAGGCTATGCTATGCAAAGGTTCGATTCCTTCGGCAGGAGGAGAGTCAAATCCCAACCTTACACCTCATTTTGGACCAAAGCTATTTTGAATGGTTTTTAGACCTTAAAATCCTCTCTTTTAAAATATTTTTGAAATAAAGTTCCTACGACGTTCCGAGACTCGCATTTCATTAAATATTACGCTTTTCGGTAAACCGAGCGAAGACAAAGTGGAAATGAATGAAAGAGAGATGAAATCTTTGAAAAATCTTTCAAAACACCTTGCTTAGGGATTTGGAGTTGAAGAAAATGAGAGAGGAGAGAAGAAAACTAGTTGAGGAGAAGTTCGGCATAAATCCAGGTAGGATCGAAACTGAGCGGCTTCACTAAAATAGGCATAACTTTTTTCATGCATCTCTCCAAGAAATTTCTGACCTGAAAAATAAAAAAACAAATTAATTCAGAAACCGCTAGAAGCATATGAAAAAACTTACTATTTTTGTAGAGATTGTTCTTGTCTTACAAAAGACAAAATCGAACATTTTCTCATCACACTGGCTCTTCATCTCCTGCATCAATAGAAAGAAATAACGAATTTGATTATTACTAGTATAAAATGTTTGTATTACCATATATAAATATGACATATACATATGGAGCATGATTGAACAGTATATATAAACACATATTAGTAAATCATAGCCTTGAAAAGATTTTGTCAAAAAATTATTATAGCAACACATCAACAGAGAGAGCAAACTAAACTAAATCGCAACAAAAATTAAAGCTCAAATCAAGGTAGAGAAAGAAAAACAATTAATATACCAAGTCAAGATGGGTCAACTCCAAAAGATTAAACAAATGAACTATCCCCACAGTTCCAGTATTTGATTGTTGAGCAATTCCACCAAGATTTTAACAATTATGTGCTGGTGTATCTGTTTTCAGATAAGAAAAAATATAAATAGAGAGTAGATAGAAAGAGAAGAAAGAGATGAAATGATGAAAGAGAAAAGAAGAAAAGAGCACAAAAGAGAACAAGTTTAAAGGAGGGAAAGTCTGGAATAGTTATATAACTACCATGACCCAAATTTAGAATTCTAGATTCTACTAATAGAAGTTGGGGTTGGGACGAACTTTTTATAATAATAAAAACAATTATTACCAAATAAATGACTTAGCTATATCAGTTTTCTCTTCATATATCTCTCACCTTCGACTTTCTATTTTCTAGGATTCTAAAAATAATAAAAAAAAAAATTTGCTATCAAATCTTTTCTTTTAACAAAAAAAGGCAATTTGAAATAATTTACATTAGATATTTCTAATAGGTGTTGAAATGATTCATTATTCCGTAATATTTTATAGTGTGTCAGTGAGTTTTGATATATATATATATATATTGATAAATACCAATGAGTTTCGATATGCTTTAGTGGAAACTCTATAATTTTGATTTTCTACTAATGTTTCATATCAGTTTGTTAGGAAACACGAAATTAGGGGGATTAGGGGGATATTTTTAAGGGATGTAGCAAGGTTGTATTTCATATCAATTTGTTAGGAAACACAAATGTTTCAACCATTTCGATAGAAACAAAATGATTAACAACATATTGATTATATGTTCAATCAGTCTGTCAAAGCTAAAATTGGGTTTTGAAGTTCAATCGTTGGCATTAAACACATCTTCAAAATTCATTTGAAAGTCAAATAGAAAAACATTAAAAAAGTTTTGAATCACACAAATTGAGTTTTTAATTCTTTATTTGCACAAACCCTAAAAGTTAACAACATATAAAATCCATAAAAATAACTAAAAAATCAAAACAATTAGTATAGACAAAAATTACAAAGCTAAATAATAATCCCTTAAAATTTTCTAAATCACACAAATTAAGTTATTGATCTACACAAAACTCAAAAATTTAGGAGTCATACCTGATGAATGCCCAAAATAAAAATACCCACACATCATTGTAATCATAAAAACCAAAGAAAATGAAATCGATCACAAGGAGAATGATAGAAAAATCAAAAGTTACTCGAAAACATTGCAGCATTTACTTTATTTTGTACACTTTGATTTTCAAATAAGAATATAATTATTTTTAAAAAAATGAAATTTACCGTATCAGAACTCAAAAATCCATCTTTCAAAGACCCTCTGTAGAAGAAAAATCAATTTTTTTAATTGAATCTGAAGATATGGTTCGAAACTGTGGATTAGCTCCAAAACACACAACAAAACACTACATAAATTTTGACTTTGCTGTCGCAAATACTCATTATACCGTCTCAAAAAACTTTTAACGACGCCAAATGACTTTTAGCGACGCCAAATGATTTTTAGCGACGGCAAACGGGAGATCACAATAAAGGGCGTTGCAAAAACTCTTTAGCGACGGCATGCCGTCGCCTTTTTTTTGCGACGACATATGTTACTATTTGCGACGGCATTTTACTGTCGCCAATAATGTATAAAAATAGAGACCTTTTTGCAACAGCACTGTTTTACACGCGCCAAAAGTATTATTTGAGACGGCAGAAAACTACAAAATTATTCAACAAGAAAGAAAGCAAATGAGTAAGAAGACTAAACGTGAGCTGGCCACATTATTTCATTCTCATGTACACCTTTTAAAAGCAAAGGAAATTTATGCTTTCAAAAAAGATGATATAAAAAAAGGAATAAATCACACCCCAATGAAACAACATTCATGGTCATCAGTCATTACTCCACGTAAGTTAATCCCAACAATTTATAGCTAGTTTAAAAATCTAGTTTAGCCATATGTAGAGGAATATCTTTGCATAAAATTGACACCATCAGGAGACAATAAATTATATGCTAGCAAGAGAAAACACACAATCATATATGTAAAAAATACAAACAAATAAAAATTGAAGGCACGTAAAGTTCTCAGTTTAAATTCAGTGAATTGAAGGAAACTTGAGATAAAAATGAAGTAGTCTACTTATATTCCAAATTTCATCAAAGAGAGAGGAAGAGACTTGAATTGAGCGCATGCCTTGCTACTAATTTTTCTCCTAAAACACATTTGTTGAAGTGACTACTTGCTTCTCAGTAAAAGGCAAATGGCCAAGTCTATGCTCCATAACCTGAAGGTCAAAAACAATAAAAGCAGTGATGATTGGTAAGATTTAACATTTTTATTCAATTAACCTTTTGATGTGTGCCCAATCCTCGCATCAAAACTAAACTTATAAAGAGCAATAATTGCAATTTTATAGAATATACTAGTAAAAGAATCTACCATAACAAACCTGAGACAACCTATATCTAAGAGAATTGGAGAACTAATAACCATTTCAAGAGAAGTACATGACCCACATAATTATACCTGAGTTTTGCTTTGTCGCTGTCAACAATTTCCCTGTTTTTCTTCTTTTGTAGAATACCAAATGACACTAGCAATGACAAAGTATGAAACCTTTCTACATATTAGGCATGCACTCAATGTAGAGCTGACATCCATTCCAGAGGTTGGGGAACTACTATGCCAATTCCTGATACAAGATATACAGAATGAATGAGACCAAAAATTGGCGAGAAATTGTGGACGAAGATGCAGTGGAGGACTGTGATCAAAAAATTTTAACATGTTCAGAGGATATGATGTTGGGAACAAAAGCTGCAGAGAATTAAAGCCATATCAATGAGTATTACAGAACACCAAAGTGATTGCAAAAATAGTTTAAAATACAAATTGTTTCAATTAACAGGACACACTGACCTTTATAGGAGCATCAAATGATTTTGCAACACTAACCATCACAGGGGTAAAGAAAACCCAGAAATGTCATATATAAAAAGTCCAGCCTGCAGTGTGTTTTTTTTTTAGCAGAAAAAGAATCAGACAAATGATAAAATAAAACCACTGAGTGCATAAATTATCATCAACAAAACGGGAACTGTGAAAAAATCAAATTAGCACCAAACCACCCTACGAAATCTAAATATATTTACTGCACAACCAAGGTTGGCACACTTGTTAGTAAGATCCAGTCCCTGAACTTATATAATAACATAATCCTTTTGAAACTGTCCTACATAAATTAACATAACTAGTAGGATAGTATTTGTTTGCAATTGTCCCCCGTCTGTTCTATACTATAAATAGCAAGCATTATAATATGATAAAAATATTTCAGATACTATTCACAACTGATTGAAAAAATAATAGAATATATAAAACTACAACAAGAGGCTAAAAAATTAATTTCAAAGCAAAAAATAAATAAACCCTCTGATGCGGGACAAATTTGTGCTCAATTAGAGTCTTCACAAGGCCAAATCTTTCAAGGCTTATCTAGAAAAAAAAAAGTCAAAAAGTGCACTTATTTAGTCTTCCCAAACTAGGCCTTAGTGTTCGGCTATTTTAGTATTTTTAATATTAAGCCATTTAGCACCTAGGCTAGTGCATCTCTAGGGATGGGTTATGTTACGCCTTGTTCATTGCTGCAATTAGCATTGGTTATGTTATGTCTTGGAGCAATTACTTGACTAATTGGCCATAGGTAAATCATTAGTAGCCGTAGATAGGACAAAATGATCAAAACCACATGAGAGGTCATTGGATATTTTTAAACGTGAGAGGGTGAAGTGCTCCAGGCCATACCACAAGGGGTAAAACGATTTTTTCCAAAAATAAAATAAATGAACTAATCTGTAGATCTATTTCTTACCAAAAGGATGGCACCAGTTTTAAATGACCCAAGTGAAAGCATTTCAATTCCCTGCACATTTAAAAAGTAAAAATGAAGCAAACCAATAAACTCTCAATGAAATAGCATCCACAAATCAGAAAAAGAGACAGAAAAAGAAAAAGAAAATTAAAAATTCTGACCAAGACATCATCAAAAATGAAAATAAGTAGCTTGTAGATTGCAAGGAATTATAATAATATTCATCATATCTTTAATTTTCTATAGATGATCTAGTGTAAAATTCCCACGCCCTTATTCAAACATTTGCCATGAAATAAAAACTGAAAAAGATCACTCCCAGTGGTAAGACAGTTTTTTCAGTCACTTATTAAATGTGAAATAATCATTGCACATTTCTCATTGCAAGTGGTCACAACTCATACAATATGTTGATTTATTATTATTATTATTATTATTATTATTATTATTATTATTCATCTCCTTTTTTTTTCTTTTTTTCTTTTTAATAAATTTAATTTTGATTGTTTTTGTTTAATAAGTTATGACTTTACTGGTAAAAAAACACAAAAACATTACAGCACCAGATCAAGGTGGAGTTTCACAAAACTTCTGAAAAATGAGGCTAACTAACTTGAATGCAAAATGCAAGGCCCAATATATTGTTAGCCAGCCAATGCTTCTGTGAAGCATACCATGCACAGAAAAAGGTTCCAGTCCCTGAACTTATATAATAACATAATCCTTTTGATACTGTCCTACATAAATTAACATAACTAGTTAGAATGCCTCTTTATTCGTGGTTAAGACACTAACAGATTTTAAACTTTCTATTTTTAGAGGCATAATGCAAACAGGTGGTGTGCATAATTTACACATAAATTACATTAAAAAAAAAGAACTTGGAAATGAACAAATTGAATCAAAATCAAAATCACATAGGAGATAGACGACTTTGACCAACCCTAGCCTTAAAAAAATCACTTGTTAGGATTTTGAAAATTAGAAGGTGAGGGAAAGGGGCAGAGTGAGAGCAACAAACAAGTGAGAGAGAGAGAGACAGAACTTAACAGATAGTCGTAGTCGTCTGTGGTAGTCGCACTCGCAGTGGCGGGCTTTGTCTTTGTGTTTAGAGTCTTTGTCCTCGGCGGGCTTGAAGGATGAGGGCTTGAATGCAGGGGGCTTCGGAGGAAGGTTTCCTAATTTTCTCTGAATATCGTCCCATTGAGTCGAAGCTCCTTCCACGTCCTTGTACACGAAGTGATGGTTCGCCATTTTTGAGAATCTCCGATCAACTCTCTCTCTCTCTCTCTCTCTCCCTCCCTATAATATCGTATTTTGGGGATTTTTTTGTTAGGGATTGGGGATTTGATGAAATCGTGAGAAACAAAGGGGGGAAAGAAATGAGGGAATTAGAAAGAGCGGGAAAACGAAAATAAAAAGAAGAAAAAAAAAAAGGAGGGTTAGGATAGGCGGTAGTTTTATTTATTTTTTGTTAAAATAATTTTATTTTTTATTTTTTTATTTTTGTAGTTAATGAATTTTATTTTTTTTTCAATTTTTTTTAGTTACTAAGGTTGAAAATTTATTTGTTTTATTTTTATTTTAATGAATTTTTTTTTATTTGGTAGAAGTGGGGGTAATATTTTTATGAAAAATATTTTCAATTAAAATAAAGTTAATGAAATTTAGAGAGATAGAGACATGTAGAGAGATAGACATACAGATTAACTTTATTTTAATGATTTTTTTTTTTTATTTGGTAGAAGTAGGGTAATATTTTAATGAAAAATATTTTTCATTAAAATAAAGTTATTTTTTTATGGTCAATGGAAAATATTTTTTGTGGCCCATTTTTTTTTTTTTTTTGTTACTAAAAATCAAGAGCTAATTTTTTGTGGTAGAGGAGAGGGAGTGGTAGTAGTGGTGAAGGTGGTAGATAAGAGGTGATGGCGAAGGAGATTAGTGATGAAGTTGTGGTAGTGATAGAGGAGATGGAGTGGCGGTGGCGGAGGAGAGGTAATAGTAGTAGTAGTAGTGGTAGCAGTGGTGGTGGTGGTGGTGGTAGTGGTAATGGAGTGGTAGCGATAGTGGTAGTAATGGTAGTCGTAGAGGTGGAGTAGCAACATTGGTAATAATAGTGCCAGTGGAATGACATTTGCAGTGGTAATGAATGTGGTAGAGGAGATGGGTGGTGAGAGAGAGATGAGTGACAGACAGATAGAGAAGAGAGATAGAGACAGAGAGAGATAGAGAGAAGAGAGATGAACGAGAGAGATAGAGAGAAGATAGATGAGCGAGAGAGACAGAGAGAGAAGATAGATGAGAAAGATAGAGAGAAGAAAGATGAGCGAGAGAAGAGAAATGAGCGAGAGAGATAGTGAGAAGATAGATGAGCGAGAGAGACAGAAAGAGAAGATAGATGAGAGAGATAGAGAGAAGATAGATGAGCACGAGAGATAGAGAGAAGAGAGATGAGCGAAAGAGACAGAGCGAGAAAAGATATGAGAGAATAGATAGATGAGTAAGAGACACACTGACAGAGAGGTAGATAAACAGACAAACAGACAGACAGAGAAGAGTGATGAGTGAGAGAGAGAAAGAGAAAAGAGAGAGGAAGATGAAAAATGGGTAAAAAGAGACAGACAAAGAGAGAGAGAAATAGCGAAAAGAGATAAACGAAAGAGATGAGCGAGAGAGCGAGAGAAATAAAGAAAAGAAAGAGAGAAGAGAGACAAAGAGAGATAGAGAGAAGAGAGATAGGCAAGAGACACAGAGAGAAAGAGAGAGAGACAAACAGACAGACAGACAGACAGAAAAAAAATAATGATGAGTGAGAGAGAGAAAGAAAAGAGAGACAGAGACACAGAGAGAAAGAAAAAGATAGACAGACAGAGAAGAGTGATGAACGAGAGAGACATAGAGAGAAGAGAGATGAATGAGAGAGACATAGAAAGAAGAGAGATGAACGAGAGAGACAGAGAGAGAAGAGAGATAAGAGAGATGAGCAAGAAAGACAGAGAGAGAAGAGAGATAGAGAGAAGAGAGATGAGTGAGAGAGATAGAGAGAAGAGAGATGAGCGAAAGAGACAGAGAGAGAAAAGAGATGAGAGAAGAGATAGATGAGTGAGAGACACAGAGAGAGAGAGAAACAGATAAACGGACAAACAGAGAGAGAAGAGTGATGAGTGAGAGAGAGGAAGATGAAAAAATAGGTAAAAAGAGACAGACAAAGAGAGAGAAAGAGAAAAAGAGCGAAAAGAGATAAACGAGAGAGAGAGAGAGAGAGAGAGAGAGAGATGAGTGAGAGAACGAGACAGATAAAGAGAAGAGAGACAGAGAGAGATAGAGAGAAGATAGATGGGCAAGAGACACAGAGAGAGAGAGACAGACAGAGTGATGAGTGAGAGAGAGAAAGAGAAGAGAGACAGAGACACAGAGAGAAAGAGACAGACAGACAGGCAGAGAAGAGTTATGAGAGAGAGAGAGAAAGAGAAGAGAGACAGAGATAGAGACAAAGAAATAGGAAGATGAAAAAATTGGTGAAAAGAGAAATGTTATATCAAAAGAGTAAGACAACGTCATTTATTATTATTATTATTATTTGTAACAGAAAAATACCGTTGCATTTATTTAAACCATTTTGTGACTATATATATATGAAGCCGTCTCAAAGCCACAATATATATATATATATTTTAAACTTTTTTTTTTTGCAACGGTACGTATTACGATCGCACAAAACTTTTTCTTTTTTTTTTCGACTGCAGCTGGTACCGTCGCAAATACCCTTTTTTTTTTTGCGACAGCAATTTCTATCATCGCAAAAACTCTATTTTTTTGCGACAGCAATCTCTGTCGTCGCAAATACTCTATTTTTTTTACGACAGCAATTTTTGCCGTCGCAAATGCTCTCATTTTTTGCGACAGCTTTTTCTGCCATCGTAAAAAGTCACATTTTTCGCAACGACAAGTTGTGCCGTCTTAAAAAGTCACATTTTTTTGCGACGGCAAGTTATGCAGTCTCAAAAAGTCTCATTTTTTTTGCGACAAGAAGTTGTGTCATCTCAAAAAGTCACATTTTTTGCGACGACAAGTGGTGCGGTCGCAAAAAGTTCTGTCTTTTAAGCCCACTTTTCTTGTAGTGAAATCATAATGAAATCAAACATTTAACAACACAAAGAACAAATAAGGAAGAGAAAAAATAATAAAATGGAAAAATTTGCCGTATCAAAACTCATAAATCCATCTTCGAAAAACTCTCTGTAGAAGAAAAATCAATTTCCTTGATTGAATATGAAGATATGGTTCGAAACTCTAATGGATTAGCTCCAAAACACATAACAAAATCAGGAAGCAAGAAGTAAGAGAAGAAAACCTAAAAGAGCTACAAAAGAGATGGACTGAAATAGGGAAAAAAAACGGAAGAAAATACGACGCAAAGAGAAGGGAAGGGAAGGAGAGAGTGAGAGAGAGAGAGAGAGATATGAGAGCTGTAAACAATTTGCATTGAGAAGCGAAACAAGTCATTACTCTCACCATCATCAATACTAAGAGATAAGCGGCACAAATTTTTAAGCTTTATTATAAGTAAATAAATATAATCACACTTATTTAAAATGTGTAATTAAAAAAAATATTATCTCACTCATTAAATTAAGTGTAATTAAAAAATAAATTTAATTTTTTAATCACATTTTTAATGAAAGTAAGATATTTTTAATTCTTTTTATGTGATCTTTAATCACATGTTAATTAGAATGTGTGATTAAAAAATATATATACAATCACACTTAATTGAAAAGTGACATAAAAAATAAATATTATCACACTTATCATTTAAGGGTAAAAAATAATTATCATTTTAACTTTTGGGCAGATTATATACATACGTATGGCTGTTTCAATTTAATTTATGAAAAATTATTTCTAACCACTCGAAAGATAAAAATTATATAAAAATGATAATTTTTTTTTTCTTAACCAAATTAATTTTTAATTTTTAAGTTTTTTTTTTCTAAAAATCAAACCATAAATAGCCTAAGAATATTTTGATAAATCATTTCTTATATTGGTAACTTATTTAATTATTTGTTAATTTTACGACATTTTTACCATCTGAAACTTGTTTGGTAACCATTTCGTTTTCAGTTTTCAGTTTTCAATTTATATTTACAAAAATTTTAAAAACTGTCATAAAAACTTGTTTGATAATTTTTTTTGATTTATAAATGGTTGTCTCAGTTTGTAAATTTGAGGAAAAAACGTAAATTCAAAAAATGAGTTTATGTTGTTTTTTAAACAGAAGTTTAAAAATTTTACTAACAAAATTTTGTTTTAATTAATTTTTTTTTCAATTAATTTTTTTTCCAACTAATACTAACCGAGGGGGCAATTGGTAATGCTACTTTAAACCTTAGAGAAGTGATTGTAATTTCTAAAATGTGAAGGGAGATGTAATTTACCCAGTGAGAGCAAAATTGGTATTTAAAAAAATTAAATTGCTGAGGGAGGAATCTGTAATGAAACTTTAAACCTCAGGGAGGGAGATGTAATTTCCAAAACGTGAGGGGAGAGCTATAATAAACATAAACCTCAGGGGGTGTCAGTGTAATTTACCCTATATATATATAAAAAAACTTTAATTAGAAGTGTGATTAAAAATATATATATATATATATATATATATATATATATCTATATAATAAGATAGAAGGGTTTTTGAAAATGTATAAAATGTATAAGAGATACATTTGGTTTGAAAGGCTAAGATGAATCTTACATTTATATTAACGGTTCAGATCAATTATAGTCCC